CTTACAGCCTACACTTGTACTGTGTGTGTCGCCGTATTTACTTTGCGATGACTCCCATCCACTTTTAACTTCCATGTTAAATTCAGTAACAGTCCCAGCTCGTTATTGGTCTATGCAAAATAAAATCTGGTGTGGTTCTTCGTCTGTAGGCTACTTTATTCTTTCCCCAAATCTTTTGTAATTACGGAATAGAGCATCTGCTTCATGTTTACACCGGCATGCACATGCCCAGTGTATGTGAACGGCCACTAGATATTAATTTTCGTTGTTTTAGTATAGATTGAGATCAGTATAAGATAACAGAACAGGCTAAAACAGAATGATCATAACCAAATGAATAATGAAACGGCAGGGAACATAAATTGACATCTAACAGACAGACATAAAGCAACCATGGCAATAGGGAAACTAATAACAATCACCAGGCAGAAATAGAATTATACAAGAACTAAGGCAGGCACAGATTATATCAAAATAAGACAGAACAGATCAGAGTAATGAATATAACAAACTAAACAATAACACAAGCAGATAGAACAAGACCAAAATACAACAGACTAAATAACAGAACGGTGGATAACTAAACAGATCAGACAGGCAGTGTGACAGCATGTGAGGATACACATAGGCTTTGGAACTTTGTCATAACTTTTATTCTCTTTGTTCCATCTGTTTACAGGTACTTCACTAGTAGCTTTTTCCCCTGTAAAAGGACTTCAGAGCTTCTACAAGGCATTTTTTTGAAATTCTTCTTTATCTGTGAAAGGGACATCATGCAAGAGGTACTGTCTCAGTGTACAAAAACGAGTTACAATCTGGAAGAATATCAGCTTGTTGGGCTAGACCAAGGACTACACTTGGGCCCTGTCTTAGGCAGTGGCATTTTCTCCCAGAGGCCAAGGGAAGCCAGGCTTCCCCTGTTTTTATCAGACTCTATTTATCATTTTAATAAAAACACAATGTTTTTAGCTTCGATAAATCTTATGTGCTGTTGCTGTCATCTCTTCCTCATTTCTCACAGAGTATTTTGCAATAAGTGAAACTCTAAATGCTATGTGTTGGATGTGTGGTGAAACACTATATTGCACCACCGTAGACTGACCTGAAGTCTGACTCTACTGTGATTAGTCAGGATGATTCAAAGGGAAGCCAGCCGCTGTATGGCTTCACGCCAATCAAATCACAGAATGCGATCAACGTCATTCAGATGAAATAACGGGAGCTGTTAGCAACTTTAGCAGGTGCGGTTATGTAGGGTGGAGATTTGGAGTTTTTAGCCATAAATAGTTTTACTAAACTACCACTACAGCAGCAATTTAAGATTAAATCTGATGGAAGACCAACACCAAAACTGGAGCTGCGCATGCATATTTGGGGTGAGAGAGAGTGAGTGAGAGAGAGAGAGCATACGTGTAGGTAAATGCAACTTTCAGCGTGTATTGATAACATATAGTGTGCATCTTTAAAGTATGATTCAGTTTTGTGTAAAATTATACCCTGCACTGTAATAGCACAATACATTAGATAATTGCCCTCCAAAAGGACATCCCCTCTCACTTGGCTTCCCTAAAAATTTACCTCGCCTACCCACGCCTATGAAGGTATTTTTGTGTCTTTTTAATGCAAGCAAAAAAAAAATGTTTTGAGAGAATATTTATAGCACTGCAATCAAAGATCAAGTTTGTAATTAAAAATAAACAGGCCTTTTTGTGTCACAAAAACTTTGAATTGCTATGATGTCATAATATTTGATTGCAAGACAAAAGGTTTTCCTTGAAAGTCAGAAAGTTTTGCAAGTTAATAAGTTTTGCAAGTTAAATAGTTTTGCAAGGCAAAAAGTTTTCCTTGTGAGTCAGAAAGTTGCGCAAGTTAATAAGTTTTGCAAATTAAATAGTTTTGCAGTTTCACTGAACAAACATGGGTTTGCATTTACTTCATGGCCACGCCCACAATCCCCTCGCTCCGATCTACTGGAGACGGCGTTGTAACGTGTTGTGAACTCGACCAGACGCACTTCAAAGAAGGTCAGATGATGTCAAAACAGGGAGGGAAGTTTTCCTCCCCGAGAGTTGACCTTTTCACATGCAAAAACCAGAGACATTGCCTGGTGTTTGGTAAGGACACGCAAGTGTTTAATACTCGGCTTACACTGACAATGATCGCTAAGTAGGCCTACCTATCACCATGTAATTGCATAAACAAAATTTTGATGCCATGCTTACATCTAAATTGTCTCTTGAGTTAAAACCAGTAACCAGCAAGTATACTGAGGACATGTAATTAAGCTTTGTTACGTTTTATATACCGATTATAACCTTTTTCCATAGTGTTTAGCCTCGTTTTAATTGTCTTTATCCGAATGTTTAGAACTGAGTATTTTCCCAAATGTCGATATTGTGGAGAGAGAGATTAAAGGGAAATACGCGCAACGTATATTTCTTTATCCCAAAAAGTTAACACCTTTGGGGTGACTTCCCCTGAGACCCACTCCCAAATTGACGTCACTAGGCTACCTAATGAAGTCAAATAAAAGGGCCTTGTTGTCCTCTGCTCTAAAAAAAAAACTCTCTTGAAACTAAATGTATATGCTCTCTTAACTTCCTTTACTTTTTGAAATTCCAATCCTTTTCCGTTTCGTACTTAAATTCCCTTCAGACAAGTTGAGAAAGCTACGACCCTGAATCCCAATTTTCTTAGCGGGAGATTTGATTTTTGATTTTTGTTTGGAGCTGCCTGGGTGAAACTTTCCCCAGACCTGTTTAATCTCAGCAACATTAAATAGCCTATATTCCCGAGGCCTCGCAAACCTGCGGCAAATGTGTGAGTTTATTTGATTTTGTTGTTGCAACCTCATCCGATCATTTTGAACAACTTTGGACCAGAAACTCAGAAGCCTTCATTTATGGCCTTGAATGAATGAAACCACGGCTCTGACGACAGAACCTGCACTGTAAACCCAGATTTTGTTTCTAATTAAACTTACGAGTGATCATTACTTATTCTTTTATGTTTTGTCAAAACCTGTTATCATTACTAAACAACATTAGTTGTTTGTACTATTTAGCTGAAAGATTAATTGCACTAATCATGTTTAGTAGAGTTAACTTGGTATGTTTAGTTTCATAAGGAAGGGGAGGGGCTAATTCAAAAACCTGCCTGGTCACGTGAAAAGACCTGCGTCTAACGTGCGTCCAAGAGGCTCTACACGTGGCGGGACGAGCACAGGCCTCGGCAGCAGACGGTACCCTGACTAGGAAGCAACATTACTGCAAGTGGAATGGTTAGTATTTAAAATAACTATTGTAGCCTAGTTATCTTTGTGGGAATTTTTAATACCCAAAAGCTTGCAGATAATCTGTTGACGCAACTTTTTTTCCCGTCTAATGTTACTGTTTGAACCTGTGCATGGTATTAATACATGCTTATTGCTAAACACTAGCTAGCTAAGTTACTCAAAGTGTCATCTGAATGTTAAAGTTAGTTAGTTAATTAGTGTTAACAGTCTAAGGATTGCTCACATACCGGCGAGTTTGCTCGACTGTATCATTTATATAAATATAACTTTACGCAATAGAAAAGTGATTCAACCGCTGTTGGGGCAAAGGAGTGTAAATTAGCACTCGCTGTGATGGTGTAAATAGTAATGAATAATTATCGATTTTCAAATATTGCACCTGTGAATACAGAACGGAATATTTTGTAGCCTTTTTTGCCGTCAATACTGCCGACGTTGTCTTTGCTGTAATCAAATCAGTATATGTTTATGTTTAACATGAAGTGTACTACTGCTTGAGTGCAGTAAATCTATGGGAAACATCCATATGTAAAGTTACAGACAAGGCTAGCAGCAGCAGCGCTGCTCAGACACGTTTCTGGTGTGCAAAGACAAAACACCACGAAGCTGACACATGCCGGTTTTCTCTGTAAAACAGGCGTCGTTTCGGTTCTATTACCTTATAGTATTTAACAGTGACATTGTTGAACTGAGTCGTTGAGCTAAACGTTTTCCTGTTTTCTATTGTTACAGATCCTTATGGTGTTAGGATGCTGTGGAAGTGTAAGTACTGTGAGTTTATGTGTGAGAAAAGGGGTTACCTTTTTAAAACATTATCGTTTAAAACACGGAAACTTTGTTAGAACTGTCCCATTTCCCTGCTTACACCAACAATGTGAGTGCACATTCAACTCCATTAATGCACTTAAGGTCCACTTAGCAAAGATTCACCAGAAAACCCAGGGTGCACAACTGAGTGAAACTGCCCAAGTAACTGCACCATGCACAGAAGCAGTCTTTCTCACTCACCTGCGCAGTACACATTTAAAGGTAAATCACAGAGTCCAGTGCCCATATAATGGCTGTAACTTTCACACAAATGTGTATTCTACATTTAATGCACACAGAAGTAAGGAGCACAGAACACACAACTGGAGGATGTTTAGGCCAGAAATAGTCTCTAGTAGTGTAACTAATGAAATGGCCCAAGAAGAACATGAGCCTCCAAATGACACCCTTGAATCAGAATACACATTCCAGAAAGTACGATACAAGAAGTCATACAACAGCTGTTACAGATGTGTGAACTATCCCAGCCACTGCTGCATAATGCACTCAAGGACATTCTGAAACAACAGACAGATGTTGATGATTCAGTTGTGGAAGAGTTAGTAAGGGCTGCCGCAAAGGGCAATGTGATCATGAAATTCTGTGGCAAGGATGGCCCCTTATCAACAACAAAAAGGAGAGCAGCATATGGTGAATAAAAACTTCACAGAGGTTAAACCAGTGGAGTACATTATTGAAAGAGGAAAAAAATCTAGTGCTGTATATGTTCCTTTGCATCCAATGCTACAGAAGATGTTGAATAGGGCAGATATTCTGGACAAAGCTCTTCCCGTCCAAAAGCATGTGCAACATGAGTACAGTTCATACAGAGATGGCTCGTACTGTAATGACAATGTCCTCCTTAAAGGGGAGGAATTCAAAATCGCTGTTGGACTTTATACAGATGATTTTGAAGTGTCCAATCCTTTAGGAACATCGAGAAAGAAACACAAAATGAGTGCAGTTTATTGGGTGATAGCTAATGTGCCACCAAAATACAGATCCACACTCCACTCCATTCAGCTTGCTGTTTTGTGTAAATCCTCTCATGTAAAAGAATTTGGCTACGCTAAAATTCTCCGCCCTCTCATTCATGATCTGGCTTCTTTGGAGCAACATGGTGTATATGTTGAGAAGTTGGGAGAATCTGTCAAAGGTACAGTTTTATATGTGGCTGCTGATAACCTGGCTGCTCATTCTCTGGCAGGATTCTTCGAAAGCTTTATGGTGGACAGATTCTGCAGGTTCTGTATGGCGACGAGAGGCGAGGTGCAAGGCAAGGAGGTAAATTCAGGTGCTTTTGAACACCGCACTATAGACACTCACAACCAGCAGGTGCAGGAGGTAAAGCATGATCCCACTGTGGCAAAACAGTATGGTGTGAAAGGAGGGTGTGTATTGAGTGACGGCCTGGAGCACGTGGGTACCCCCCTGACATCCTCCATGACCTTTTGGAAGGCATTGTTCCTGTTGAGTTATCCCTCTGCATTTCAGACATGATTTCTAAGAAATATTTCACCATAGAAACATTGAACCATGCCATGAAAACCTTTTGAATATGCTTTTCATGACAAAACTGACCAGCCTCAGCCAATTGCCCATGTCTTCTCTACCAAAGGGACCATAGGTGGAAATGGCCATGAGAACTGGGCCCTAATCAGGCTGCTCCCACTTATCATTATCACTCATCAACAGAGGCGGATATAAGAAAAGTCATCCTAACCACAAGGCCCTCTACAGTCGAAGATTTGATAAGCAAGCTTAAAGAATCACTGGGACTTCATTATAACTTCAGTCTCCAATACCAAGACCCTGAATTCAATAATGAACTATGCAATCTGACAGATACTGAAGAACTTCCAGAAAAACCAACAGTTAAAGTCATGCCTGTCCTTGAGCTGGTACCTGTCTCATCTGATGAAGTCTTCAGTGACACACCCAGTACAGCAGATACAGACATACTCTCACACTCATCTCAGGAGCGACAGAAACAGTGGCCAGAATTTTTTGATATCCCTACCATGTCTGTGGATGTAGAGTATGGACTTAGGCAAGCAGATCTGCTGTTTGAGTGAGGGTACACACCTTAAAGTATCAAAAGAACTAAAACACGAGATACTTGAAAGATTGGCAGAGAGCATGTATAGCTACACAGCATACCCAACTGCTGCTCAGTTCGAAAGTGTTGCAGCAGCACTGATAAACAAGCACCCTTGTCTCCAGGAGCGAGGCTCAACCACTCGCTGTTGTGGTTGGAAAAATAGCCTTAAGCATAAAATGGGTAATTATCGAACAAAGCGTAGGCAATCAGGATGCCTTGATCTTTCAGTAAATGCAGGTAAGCGGGGAAGGCATTCAGCAGGACAACCAGCTAACAAGCGCATCAAGAAGGTGAAATCAACTACTTGCCCAACTTTCCAGATGGATTTGATCAGGCAGCACTGGAGGGGGCCTGTAAAGACTTGGTTGATGAAATGCAGAAGAGAACACCAAATGGACCTCTTGTGAAATAGAAGATGGATCAGACCTTTTCTCTGAGAAGAAAAGAGGTAGTGGAGTCGGAACCCGCTATAAGCACAATGGTGAAACGCTGGCCTGCCCTTTTCACTGAAGATCAAGTATATTTAAGAAAGAACATAACAAATAACTATCTTTCTATTATATATTGTGTCTAGATGTATATTTCTCTTGTCCTCTTTAAGGAAAACATTGGTATTTTTAATTTGGAGCAGGATGTTTTTCATCAACATTGCAAATCGTATAAAAAGGACATTCATTATGTTTTTCAGCACTACTTTGCAGATGGCTTAGCTGCCTTGTATAGTTCAGTTGATCTAAGTTCAGTTTTTTTGTTCTCTGTATTTTTCAGGTGTTCATGGAGTTCAGCAGGATTGTGGGCAAGAACCTCAAACAGGAGTTCTATGAGAGCATCGACCGGCACAGTCCTCGTCTCCTGGAGTTATTTCAATCCAAGAGAGGGAATGTTGGACAGTTGTTGACACAGATTTCACAACAGACCAATGTAAGTCTATACACATTCTGTACTTGGCGTTGTTTATCTCAGGTTTTGTATAAACATCATATCACAATGCTACTCTATTAGTTGTATAATTCAATCAAAACATTGCTTGTTTTTTTTATGCTTTCATATAGATCGTTATTTGTTTTTTATTTTAGCTTGTTGTACTGTGTTTAATTCTCAAAAGACTACAGAGCCAACTACGATCTGGACACAAGTGCTCAGAGGGCTTCCTATCATACTTGGGGACAACCCTACAAACTTCTTCAAAGCAAGCTTTGTAAGTAAGCTCTTGCTTTCTTATAATTTTTACCATTATTTATTTTTCACCATGACACTCTTATATTCATTAAAGTTGTTTTTCAAATGAGAAATATAATGTAAAGATTGTGCTCTTCTGTTATTCTTTATTTAGGAATCTGATGATGATGATTATTTTCGATGACCTTGACGTTGGGAAGCTTCTTATTGAGCGTGAAGGTGCTGTGCTCACGTCTTCCCAGCATCTCAGTCCAGCTTCGTTGAAAATACTCGTTGGTGTTCTCTAGTTGGCTCCATCCACAGTTAATAAACCCCTAGATTAGTCAAACTAAATCTGCAACCTAATTTCGGTCATTCGTTCCCTCATACTCGTCGAATTCTCTCCCTCTACAATATAAAGTGAAATTCAATCGAGCCTTACATAGGCCACCCTGTTTTATTACCTCCTGGTTGTCATATTGACTGTTGTCCCTGTAATATTACCACATTTACCCACTATTGTACTCTCTTTTGTTAGTTAATAAATTCACCTTGAGCACAGTGATGTTGTGTGTGCGTTATTAAGAATCTAGAGTCCCTATACATAGAACTCACCCTCAGATTTGAGATTGACTGATTGACTAGAGTTTACTATTTCAGAATAACTGAACCAGTAACAACTAATGAATTACCAGACATTTGTGTAATTCTCAGGCTATACTCAAGGACCTAAAGCCTTGGGCGGACAAGCAAATCTTTAGGTGGTGCTCCTAATTTCGAGGCATAAATTAATATTCCCGGAAATATTAATTTTCATAACTGTATTAAAATTTTACGTAGCCTAGATCTGCTACAAACGTGTACAAGCTAGATGGAGGTAAGTTGACGTTATGTTGCTCATTTCAATAGAAATGTTTTTAAATGTAGTATCGCATGATTTAATGATAATTTATGTTTACTGTTGGCAAGGTCACGGAGTCTATCGCTGTCTCCTTTGATAGAATGACATGTTTAACAGTTAGCTAACGTTAGCCGTCTTAGCATGAAGCTTGACTGGCTGTACATTTGTGCACTCGGACATGACTATAGCTAGGTTAAGGTTAGCAACTCATGTTTAACACATTGTGCATGATATCCAGCAAAACTAGTTTTCTGTGACTGTGTTAACTGAAGTTTATGGTCACCCAGCATAAACTAGACTTTAGACCGCTGTTTGATTTATAATTGTGTCCTTATTTCAATGCATTTCTCTGTGCATTTGTTTGTTTCCCGGTTTACACGTCAACCGACAAACTTCCTTTAAATAGTCTGAAAGTCCGAACCATAAAAAAAAAAGCCTTCATACCAGAAACAAACCGAACCATCACGAAATCTGGGATCTGGGCTTGTCGTTTCGATTTTTTAAAAACCCTGTCCCTATTTTTCATATTTTGAAGAGATGTTGTCTGTTTTTTGTGTCACATGGACTCGTTTTGCTCAGCACACCTTCTTTTTCAGCTGGTCACTGTGGGAGACTCACCAAGATATGGCAGTGGTGGATTGTTTCAACACCAACTGCTGCAGTGGTTCTCATGAACATCTGCCTCATCCTCTACTTCCCCTCTGCATCGTCATTTAGTAGTCTACCTGGCAAATGACTCTGACTGGGGGATCCCAAGACATTTCCAAAGGAGAGCGACTCAACTCTGAGTTCCTCACGGATGACTGAGCTTCTCATCCTTTTCCTTTCTAAGGGAAACATAAGCCACCTTCCTGTAAAATATAGTTGTCAGCTGTCATCTGCCAAACACAAGACCACATGAGACTACAACCAAAAAAAAGCGAGTTAGCTGACCGGAAGTCTTGTAAAAAAACAAACGGGTCAACTAGCTGAGTCCATATTTCCTTTCAGAATAAGGTGAATATACAGTACATGCTTCCAACAGGAAATAATATATGCAAACACATATCATTGTTGTGCAGATGACACACAGAATTATGTCAGATTTATTAAAAAACTATTTTTTTTAAAAGGGCATCACTTACTATTTTGTCTCTCAGAAATCAAGCATTGGGGTGGTGATGGAGCAGTGGATAAGACTATGCCATTGGTGTGAGAGACCCAGCTTCAATCCCCCACTGTGATCCATCCACCAATGTGTCCCTGAGCAAGACACTTAACCCCTCGTTGCTCCAGAGGCGTGCGACCTTTGACATGTATAGCAATTGTAAGTCGCTTTGGATAAAAGCGTCAGCTAAATGAATAAATGTACTGGATGTCTTAAAACTTTCTTTAGCTAAATGAAAATAAATCAGAAATCACTCTACCACTATTTATCATCCAGTGGCTACTACTATAATGCAATTAAAAAACATACAAAAATTTTTTTTTCACCTCTATGGGTTATTTTTAAAGTTAGTAACACTAAGGTTAATAAAAAACAACAACACTGATTGAACACCAGATGCAAGTCACTCATTTTGTATGGCCAACCATCCACCAAGTGCTCATTTTGCAGCCATGTAACATTGTGCTGCTTCCACCTTTGCTACTACTATTCACGCAAGAATTTGAACAAACAACTAAGACTATTATTTTTCTGGCGAAGACAGCCACTAACCCCACCTTCATCCCTATGGTATCTGTCTGATATTTGGAAAAAGATGTTTTGGCCGAGGGATGTTCATTGAAGTTTATAGAGGTCACTCCCCAGTATCGTATTTGCCATAATAAACAGTTAGTTGGTGACTGACCTGCCCCTTTCAGTGAAAGTCACCCCTCATTATTTTTGTTGTTTATGGCTTAATTCACATTTACTGTGATGAGGTGAGGAACTTGATTTCTATACTCACCACTATGCTTCAATAATTGGGAGTGTGGGGAAAATTTATTGCTGAAGAGGCAGAGATATAGTCTATGTTTCAAGCAGCTGTAGCAGCCTTAGTAGACCAGATTGCAATAGATGCCATATATTCTGAGCTACGACCACATGTTCATGTTCCTATTTGAGTCAACATTCGAATAATAAATAAGACATATACATAAGATGTGAACACAGTAACAGCAAGAAACTAACTAGAGAATTTCACAAGAGTGTAATTATTGTGTATCTAGTGAACATTTGAGTGAGTTCTCATACGTTCTCATTACGGCTGATCGATTAATTGCATATGCGATATTATCACGATATGATTTTCTAATCGCAAAGGCTGCGATTATACCAGTCTGCGGAGGAAGCATTAACTTCGCACGTTACGCTGTACCTTAATTGTTGCAGGGGTCTCTAACCTCACGCACTCACCGTGAGACACACATTTCAGCCAGTTCACACACCACAATAATTTTTCCGTTTCGTACTTAAATAATAATTTTTCTGCCGAGTTCTTAGCTTTCCCTGTTGCCTACTAAATGCCAGAGCCATTTAGCCGATCATAAATTAAAATGTGTTGTTTCCGGGTAAACTCTGTGATCCCACTGCAAGCACGTTCGTTACTAGGCAACATTGATGCACGATGTTTTTTTAGCATTTTGATTTTACAATTCCTGGACGAAATCACTTGCCTGTGATTCATAGGCTTTTAACAAAGATAGTGAGAGCAGAGTGGGGAGTACAGACAAATTGCTGAATTGCTATGTATGTAAGTGGAAAATGTAGAAGTAACCTATTAAAAATAAAAGTAGCCTACTCAAAGCAGAAAGAAAAATGTCCCCTATGACTGTTATACTATTATATATTATATCATTAGATTATTATTTGTAATAATAAAATGCAATTAATGATTATTTTTATTATGTATAATTTTCTCCATTAATCGATTTTAATAAACTCTAAAAATTGTGAGAAATTTTGTCAGTTACCCAGAGCCCTAAGTAACACCTTAACAATGCTTATTTTGTCAGTCCAAACCTTAAAATGATTTTCTTTTTTAAATACATTAAGATAATGAGTAAGTAAAACAGCAAATCTTCACATTTGTGAAGCTGGAACCATGAAATGTTTTTACATGAAAAATGACTAATACCAAAACAGTTGCCAATTAAATTTCTGTCAATTAGCCTAACTGATGGAGTTCCACTAGCTGGATTTGTATAAACTGTTAAGTAATTTAATTTATGTCAAAACATCCTATTTTTATAACTGAAAGATGGACTCCTAGGAAATTTGAACTGAGATAAGGACTCATTAATTGGTGGTTGAACAGTGTGTTTTGTATTGCTTTATAATACACTGTGGTGAACTTTGTTTCTGTAGGCCGACCTGATGATATTATATCATATTATTTAATGACATGACTTGACTCTGAAATTATCTTTCTCATATTATTAAAATTTGATACTTCTTCTCCACCATGGCTCATAATAATAATTCATGCAATTAATGCATCACCTAATTTCATCATAACACAGGTCTGACCCAAAAGAACAGTGTATGTTTAATCTATATAATATTTTGTTGGTATACACTGATTGCTTGTCGGTTTTGAATAATACAGTACAGAAGGTAAAGAGCTTAAAAATTAATCGCATATTAAATCACAATCGCAATGTTGCGCATAATATTTTTAAAAAACGCAATTAGATTATTTTCCAAAATCGTTCAGCCCTAGTTCCCATGGGTCAAGGAAAAGGTAAAAGCACAGGTAATAGTTCTCTTTATTCCTGGTGTTTATGTACATGCAGAAGCCTATCCCAGAGTTAAAAACTGTTTTCCGACAGTAATTGGTAATGTCACTGCTCCACTGACATTGACTGGGTGTGTGACTTTGCTACCCTGTGATGTTACGATAAGAGACAGCAGAGCAGGAAAAAAAGTGTTACTTTATCAATGGCTAAGAGTGGGTAATGCAACAGGTTGGCTGACACACAGAAAAAATAAAGCAGGAACCTCGGGCAAAAGTCACATATTTACTGAGTGGAAATCCACTGCAAAATCACTGGCACTGCCATTTGCTGGATTATTTCTTTCCCAGCATGACAACAAGGCAAATAGTTATGGCTTTGGTTCACATGCTGCAAACAGAGTGACTACCAACAAATCTAAAACACTCCTGTATGTCTCTAATTGTAAATGATAGTCATTATGGGTTATGTCAGTACTTTGAAGGGATCCAAAAGGCAGAGGTAACTGTGGATAATGTGGGATCGTTTGTATAAAGTAAAATGCTTGGTTTCATGTGCTTCTAATTAGTATGTAAATTTGCATGTCCCTCTGTCACGATCCTGTCCTGAGCGTGTCTGGGTTTCAGTCCTGTCTGTGCGTCTTGTTGGGGAGTCTGGGTTTTTGTTCCATGTCTGTGTTCCTAGTCCTGTGTTTTAGTTCTTGTCGT